GGGGGTTAAACTGGGACTGTAAACGGTGCGACAGGAACACAAACTGGGAGGGAAGAGGAACCCCACTTCTGTCACCCCAGGAGGAAGAGCGACACGCGCAGAGGACACAGGGTTCTCACCAGCGGACGCCTTTGGGTGCCCCCAGCCCCAGAGCGACACACACCCGCCAGCGCCATCCTCATGGGGCAGAGACCCTCCGCCAGGGATCTGCTGGACCCACGGCTCTTGGTGACACCACGCCGGGACGCACAGCCCATGGCCCCGCCGGCTCCCTCTCCACTGCCACGGAGCCCATCTCCCAGCCCGGCTGCCGAGCCCCCGTCCGGGCGGTGAATCGCGGAACAGCTGTAAGGAGGGGAGGGGAAGAGAAAGACAAGGGAAAAGGGGGTCACTTCTTCCCCGACGGAGCAAAACCTGTTCAAGCACGACGCAAGGCTACTTGGCACCCAGGCAGCTCCCAAAGCACCGGCTGTATTTTGCAGAAGCCGGGAATTCTCCCAGGCTGTCCCGCGGGACAGAGGAGACTCCCCTGTGCTCTGCCAAGGAACCAGGCTCAGCCCTCGCGCTTCACATCAGGGCACGACAACCACAGAACTGTCACAGCTTCAGAACTGTCACAGCTTGACTCTGACAACGCACCACGCATCCCTCTGCCGCAGCATCCGTCCCTCCTGCGCCTCTCCGCTGCACATCCATCCCTCATGCACCTCTCCACCACGGCTCCTGCACCTCTCCATTGCAGCATCCGTCCCTCCTGCGCCTCTCCACTGCACATCCATCCTTCCCGTGCCTCTCCGCCACTCCCACCAGCGATGGCTCTGGATTCAGTTACTGGCTTTTATCCCCTGCAAACCCCTCCCAATATATGCATCTCTAGATACATATATAGATATAGATTTCCATATGCAAGTACCTATATCTATATACATATATTTATTTTATACGTATATATTTTCATTTATGCTTTTAATGAAGTGCTGTGCTTTCAACTGCTGCCTTCCTCCGCAGGGATCTGCTCCTGCGCACGCTTTTCAGTCCGAGGAACGAGCGCTGGGCGCTCTCGGCCGCGAGCAGCACACGGAATTCATCGGGATCGTGCAGATGTCCCAGCCTGGCCGCCGGCTCTCCGCTGCCGCTCATCCCCACCGCGGTCCGACCCACGGACGGTGCTACTGCGGGTTCTTCAAGATGCGCCCGTGTCTGAAGTCGTAGACGTGACGACAGAGGAAAACCAGCTCGGGGTCTGTGTCCTCGGGCACCTTGCGGTGCAGAGGGGTGGAGTACTCTTCCGAGGGAGGAACCATAATGGTTTTCCTGCCTGGGATCCCTTCGACGCGACGCTTTGCCAAGGCACAAAATCTGCAAGGCAACGACACCGGCAGAGTTAGCACGGGCTCGTTTCAGCTCCCAGGGCTTGTGTCCGTCCCTCTCGCTGGAAGCCACCACGCGGCTGCCCTGGGGGTGGCAGGGGAAGGAGAACGGAGCTTTGCTCAAGGACCTGAAGCAGCAATTGCTTTTGATCCCGCCCCGAGCTGCAGGAACAGAACGGTTTCTATTTCCATGCTGGTGGATGCTGTACAGGACGAAGGATGACTGCAATTAACCCACCTTGCTTTTATTGCTTTGGCCTCGTTTTTTTGTTAATTAGCCCCAGAAAAGGCTCATGCATCAGGCTGCTGTTTAGGCAAACAAAGAATTCAGGATGCCTTCAGGGAATGTCTCTCAAAGGTGACCTTACCCATGACAGCACAAAAAAATTCCTGCCAAGAGCTGTTCCAGAGGAGTGCGCTGCTAGAAAGGAACGGGGCTGCTGGGACCCAAAGCAGGGCAGGGGGTTGTTTCTTTGGGTTTTTGGTTGGTTTGTTTGGGGTTTTCGTGGGGGTGGGGTTTTTTTTGAGTTTTCAAAAGAAAGCACAATTCAGCTTACACAGAGTGTGTAAACCAGTTTGTTTTCAGAAATGCAAACAGCCGAGCCGCGGGGCAGGAGCAGGAGGACTCAGCAGAGTGCATTAGGGCTGGAACACCCCTCTGCGGTAAGACTGCACCGCCCAGGGCATGCACCCCGCAAAACCCCAGGGATTTCAAGCCCTGTTTTGCATCATGGATTTGTGTCCCCACTCAGCCCCTGTTTTCATTCTGCCCTGCGCACCCGTCCGTCACAGGACGCCAGTCTGGAACACGGATGCTGGGAGGTCCCAATCCAACCAGCAGGAGCTGAGCAGCCAGCCCCTCGGCCACTGCTGGGAGCGACGCTGCTGCCAGGGCGCCCGGCCCCGCGGGCACACACGGGGAATGCACCAACCCCGCCAGCAGCCCACCAGGAGCCGTTTGGGCTGGCCAGGGCTCCTGTGTGCCAGCAGGGAGACACACACGGGGCGATCTCCTGCCTTGCTTGGGTTTTAGCACCCAGTTCGGGGTTTCCCTGCACTGTGCTGCACTGATGTCCGCATGCGGCACGGAATCGATCTGGCGTGGGGGAGGCACTCACAGACCTGGCACCAAAAGCCTATGCAGAGTGTAACTGCTCCAGCTCCAGCCAGACCAGTCTGAGAGCTGAGACAGCTCTGCTGGGTGATGGGGGAGTGGAAGGAGGGACAGGAGCTGGGGACAGAGGCAGGGCTGGCGAGGAGCAGCGAGGGACGAGCTCCACCTACCTGCAGTACTCTGCAAAGGTCAGCACGTAGCACTTCTCCTCTATGCAGGCAACGCTGTTCTCGTCCTGGTGCCGGGATGCGAAGATCTCATTCTGCAAGAGAGGGAAGGGAGAGGTCACCCGGCTGGCCAGGAGCCCAGGGAGGGAGGGACAGCTCCACACCTGCACCCGTCACCTTCGGGGGGTCTATCAAAGCCTGCTCGGAGCAGACACTCGTTAAAGCCGGGATCTCACACAATCCAGACACCCTCCGGGTGGGTTGGGACCCATTCAGAGTGTGCACCAGGGCTTTAGCCAGCAATACGTGAGCAGAGCATTAAGGGTTCTCCCATCGTTTCCCAGTGCCTGGCACACTTTGTGAGGCCAAGTGTCCAAACCCCCCACGTCCTGCCAGTGTTATAAAAGCCCTTTGGCAGCACGGCGGCTCCCAGCCACCCCACTCAGCCTCCTCTTCCTCCTGGGGATGATGGACAGCTTGTGGCAGCCGCTGAGCAGCATCCCAGCAGATGAGCTTTGTGATGCTGCACTGGAAAAAAAATAAAAGCAGCACTTTGAGAGCACCGCTGTGATGCCTGGGAATGACGATGGGGCAGGTAAGAGAGGGAGGAAGGCTGAGTCCATCGGGGAGGTACTGCAGAGGCTCCAAAAGAGGAAACCCCGGCAAGAGATGCCTCTGCTCCAGCTTATCCAAGATGTGAGCTGGTGCTCAGCCTCCTCGGGGAAGGAGCCTTCAGACCGCATCCGGAACAGCCCCTGAGCAAAGCTCCTGCAGGCAGGGGGTTGGAGCACTCCCCAGCTCCAAGGGATGCTCTTCGTTCATTGTCCCTTTGCCCTGCTGGAAACCCTTCAGTTCATTTGTACAGCTACGAACTGAAACAGAGGTTGAACAGCACTCTGCTGGCTTTACTTCTACGCTCTGACACACGACCAGTCCTTCTAATCCATCCCTGCATCAAAGCTGGAGGAGCCCCTTCTTCTCCAGCCCCTCCTCACCCCAGTTCCATACAAAGCCTGCTCTAGCGAGGGACGCAGCAGTGGCCGCCTTCCCCAGGGTAACAGGGGAAACTCGGATCTGAAGCAGGCAGGAGGCGAGATACGGAGCCATCTGAAAGCCTTTCAGGTGTGGCGAGAGGAGCACGGATGATCCCTGGGGGTGAGGATGCTCTGCACAGGTCTGTAAGCGCTACCCGCAGGCGCTACTCGCAGCCCCGAGCAGGGAGGCTGGAGGGCAAGGCTCAGAGGGTCCCCGTCTGGGGACGTGCTTACGAGGGAAAGTGAAAATGCCCCACCTCGCTTCCGCACGTTGGGGTTTTGGGCTACACCTGAAATCAAAACGATCTGAGTCATCTTTGGCAAGCCCAGCCCAGCTGCTCAGCCCAAACGGCACGCTCTCGTTTCAGGTCTGGTGTAATTAAGCAGGTGTGCAAAAAACTGGCTGCGTTCCTCCCGGCCAGACTGCTGGTGCTCTCTCTATGCTAAAATGCAACTGGATGAAGCCAGGCTTCATTGACGGGCCAGAAAGCTACAGGTGCCTCGCTTCTGTGCCCCGCTGTCAGGCAGGTACTGCTCCCCAGCTGCTCCCAGCCCTTCCTCCCCTGGATTTAAACTCTCTCTACGCTAAAATGCAACTGGATGGAGCCAGGCTTCATTGACGGACCAGAAAGCTATAGGTTTTGGTTTAGAAACTCCTCTGTGCCCCGCTGTCAGGCAGGTACTGCTCCCCAGCTGCTCCCAGCCCTTCCTCCCCTGGATTTAAAAAAAATAAAGGAAAAAGGCATCCAGTATTTTGGTGGGTTGAAACCAGCAGTAAATTCTGCATTCCCAGTTTAAAACCAGCTTGTTCTGCCACCCAACACAAGCCCATGCAAAGCAGAGTGAGGCGTGAAGTCATCATGATTCACACGTTTTTCCTTTTACAGCACAAACTCTATTATACCAACACAACATCCTCCAGCCAGGCTGTAATTCTCCTAAACCTATACAGGGGAAGGACGACGCACCCACGATTCTGCACAAAACAAACAAGTTTCTGGAGTTAAGCAGCAGATTAAGGGATTTAGGACAAAGAGGCAGCACGTGGTGCAGGTACCTCAGTTTCCCGCAGCGAGCTCCGCGTTTCGGGGTGGATTAGAATGCCCTGCCTGGAAACACGGACATGGGGCGCGTTTTGGGGACACGGTTTAGTGGGTTAGGTGGTGTGGGCTGACGGCTGGACTTGAGGTCTTTTCCAGCCTTAATGATTCTACGATTCAACTCACTCGTCCTTACTCACAAGGCAGCAGTCAACACCACTGTTCACTTAATTTTCTCAGATTAAAGGGAGAAACGCTAAAAGTTAACAGAGGCGGCCCCGCAAAGACCACAGCAGCTTCTGTTCCAGCCCAGAGCTTCTCCACGTGACAATAAAGTGGGGAGAAGCCCAGGTGCAGGACACGGCCACCCAACACATCTGGCAGCAGCTGCATCGCAGCCAAGAGACAGCTCCGCTTCACTCAAACCAGCAGCTCAGCCCCCGGCGTTCGAGGCCACCCGGGAACGCAGGGAGATACCCGGGCGGGTCCCCTCTTCCCGCAGGAACGCGGACACGCCGGGACGCCCTCGCCCCGGGTTTGGTGCTCACCTGGTGCATGCTGGGGTTGCGGCCGCCCTGCGTGTGCTCTGGGCGGTAATACCACAGCAGGCTCATCATCAGCTCCCCTGCAAGAACAATTATTAAAATACATCAAGCTTCAGTTTTCTCGTAGTGTTTCCCTGCTAACATCCACCTTCCTCCTCCTGCTCCATCCCTCCCACTCCCCCCCAGCGCTGACGCAGAGGCAGCTGTGCCCTGATCAGTATTTCATGCTGGACGAGGTGCCCTTTGGTGACAGTGAGGAGCTGCGTGAATCCGTCACGCTGCTACTCCATCACACCTGCACCCCTTCTGCTTGGGCTACAAAGGGGTCAGCTAGGCACACACACATAAAAACCAAAACCCCCCCACAAAAAACCCCAAAATCAAACATTTCCACCTGAAGGAAGCATCCCTTTGTCCCCCAGGCTGGAACGATGCTCAGCCAAAGCTGGGTACTCTCAGGATGGGCTGAGATGGGCTCACCACACCTTCATCACTTCTTTTACTCGTGGCCTTTTTTCCCCTGGTTTTGTGCAAGCCCTGGACTTTACACTTGGCACAGCCTCCTCAGCTCTACCGCTGCTCAGCCACAGGACCCCAACACCAAACCCACAGCATCCCACCCGTCACCACCTCCGCTCCAGTCCCACCACCAGCGCCCGCGGGGAAGCCCATGCTCCGCTCCAGCGCCCAGCCCGGCTGCTGGGCACAGCGCTGGGGTCAGCAGCAGCCTGAGATCTCTGTTCCAGGGAAATAAGAAAGGAGATCATTGCTAAGACGGGTGCTTGGCAGATATTATGTGCTTTCACAACCGGGAAGATGTTGATTACCAGTCCCAGGTGATTAGAGAGCATTTCAGTTCCTGGAACAACCTGAACGAAAGCCACGGAGCCGATCTCTTCCTCTCCATCGCCCGCTCGGGCAGCAGAACACCCCCAGCAGCCTGCGGCCATCCCCAGCTCCATCCCTGCCCCGGTTCCAGCTGCCCTCACCTGCTCGGCACAGAGGCAGCACGTCCTTTCCGCACAGTACCTGTTTTGGGGTCTTCCCACAGCGCCGATATCTTTGCCACGTAGGGCATGGATTTCTTCCGGGGTCCCGATTTCAAGAGGACAGTGTCTCGTACCCGGATGATCTCCCCGTCTCTCTCCACAGCCTGGTAGCTCTTGCGAACAGCCGGCTCCGGTTCATTCTGCACCATGAGAAAAAATAACCCAACCTGAGTGTACAGGCACAGCTCGCTTATCGTCTGCGCCCCCAGCCCAAGACCCTTCTGGTCGTGCCGTGAATTACAGCCCAGCCTCAGCCTGCCCAGAGCCAAGTGTGCCCGCTCCAGGAGATGTCACGCAGCGTAAGAGCACTCGTGGCGTCTCTATTTCCACCAGGCTGGTTATAAAAGCAAAGAGCAGGTCAAACCAATCACTTTTTCTACGGGTGGGGTGTTCATAGGTAAAGGCAGCTCCCCGAGGGACGGCACCCCAGTGCTCAGCCAACACAGCAAAACCCAACAACTTCTCCTGCGGAGCGCTGGCAGCAAGGAGCAGCTCAGCAGCGGGACAGCAGGTCCCACCAAAGCACCGATTTCTGACATTAACACCCTGGCTTCAAACTGAAAACCAACTGCAAGCAGAACCCTTCAGAAACATCACCGGTGGCTGGGTGTCTCCTTCGGACTCAAAGGCCCAGAGAAGGAGGCACACTCGGAACGCTATCTATCCCCTTCTCCAGTACAAACGTTGGAAGAAAACAAACAAAACTTGGCATCTGTCAGACAAACAGGGCAGGGAGTGGTGGGGCGGCCACGCACAAAGCTTTCCATAACCGCAGTGCTAACGTCTCCTTTGCACTCCCTGGCGTTGCAAAATGATCACTTTTTGCACTGGGAACTAGGAGATTTGATTTTTCTGCTCTCGGCCTCCCCGGGCTCTGTCCCCGCCGAGCCTCGCAGCCAACACCTACTGCATGCACTCCAGCGCCTCGTCCCACCTCCCCAGGAGCACGGGGCTCCAGATTCCAAGCCCACCGCCCTTATGCTTTAACAACCCGCAGGATGACGCCTCTCCCCCAGCTGCACTGCGGCTGATCCCAGTTTCCAGCAGGAAACCTCCCGTATCGCAGGAGCCCGTCTCTGCCCCTGATCACACCACCCGGGGAAGCGCAGACATCCCTCAAGGAGTGACTGGCCAGGGCACCTTGGAAGGGGCAAGAGGGGGGACATCGGAAGCCAGAAAAATCCCACCCAGGAGCCAGGATACTGCCTCAGTCCTCTGGGAGATCCCTGCTGGGCTGCAGACCCCGTCAGCGAGAACACCCTTCTGAGAGCTGCCCTTACGCAACCGCCCCTCCTAACGAGGCCAAACCTCCCCCACCTCCTCAAACAGGTTTGCCCCAACCCGGGAGGAAGGAGCTGGAGGACGATCTCTCCGTAGGACGGACTCACGCGTGCAGGAGGTGCCGCCCTTGCAAAAGCCGGCGCCAGGAGCATCCATCATCATGGCATTTCAGCTGATGCCAGCACAGGAGCAGCAGGTTTGCCTTCACAAACAGCCCATCACGCCGGGCGAGGCAGAAAAACAAAAGCAAGAGCAGCTCGGCCCCAAAGCCCAGCCCAGAGGCACGATCTGCTTGGGCAAGAGGTTCTGCACGGCAGCTCGTGACCGACCGAGCAAGACCCAGGACGCTCAGGAGCCTTCCTGACCCGCATCCCCTGGAGAGGCACAAAGGGTAGAGCCGTGCACGCACCAGACCCAGCGCTCCGCCGACACCTACCACCACGTAGACGGCCTTCTCGCAGGCCGTGCCCACCGGGATCCAGCCGTTGGTGGCTCTCCGCCGGCTGATGCGCTGCTGCTTCGGGTGGGAATGGCCTCCCGCCGCCTTGCTGTCCGAGGCGTGCAGACAGCCCGGAGTATTTCGGAGCCCGGACTTGGAGCCGCTGGGAGGCTTGGAGCTCTGCGGACACTCCCGGGCCATGGTCTGAGGGTCAGAGTTGGGGGTCTGCAGGTGAGGAACGGGCTCTGCAGCTGGTGGCACGCTGGGGACAGGGCATCCTGAGAGGGGGTGGGCAGGCGACGCAAAAAATCGACGCGGGGTGCCCGGCCGCCGGGATGGTGAGGTTCAGCTGGTCCAGAGACTTGCAGCCTTCTAACGGGAGGGAAGAAGAGAGGCACGTATCTCACTGACATGTAAGATGACCACACAATCAGGACTGTCCCAAACCCCCACTGCTTCCCCTCACAATTCCCTTTATTGCATTACAGCAGTAAACACTCTTCCCGTTGTAATTTCATTTTGCACTGTCACTGGAAAAAAGCAAAGCTCGTCCTAAGCCTGCGATGCTCGAACACGCTGCTGCGATGACACCGCAGCACGGCAGACCCGTCTGAAATCCCCCAAGTCACGCCAGCCAGCGATGCACACGCGGCTGGCC